CATTAAAGAGTTTTAACATACATACACAATCATGCACATGTTTTTAATTTTTATATATTCAAATTTCTTGGTCTTTTCCTCCAGTGGTCACTGTTAGGAAAAAGTGAAAGACTTTTGAAATGAGCAACAACAATAAAAACTTTATGGGTGTCGTAGTATCTAGAGTACCCTTTCATGTTATCTTTTGTTGTCTGTGACCTATTTCACAACTCTGCAAGTTGTAGAAAACCAATATTAATGCAAATTATTCTTGTCCATAGAAATGCAAATTAGTTGTGGAATACAATTGATTATTGCCCTGGAATTGATACATTTGCCTCTGTTTATAAATACATTTTAGCATTTCTTATCTGCCTAGGTAGTGTGTGTACTTCTTTGAATTCTCCTGTGAATTAGCAAGCAACATCTTTTTTAAAAAAATATATATTCTATTGATTTTTTACAGAGAGGAAGGGAGAGAGAGTCAGAAACATCGATGGGAGAGAAACATCGATCAGCCGCCTCCTGCACATCTCTACTGGGGATGTGCCCGCAACCCAGGTACATGCCCTTGACCGGAATCGAACCTGGGACCCTTCAGTCCACAGGCCGACGCTCTATCATCCACTGAGTCAAACCGGTTTTGGCTAGTAAGCAACATCTTACTGGTTCCCTGATGATAATCAATTAATGAGTTAAATAAAATCTCTGACATATGTTCATTTTATATCTGCACGAGAGTCATGATTATGTCCTTTTAAAAACATTATCTTCAAGCATTGCCCATATTCAAGGCATGAGTAATAGGTCATGGTATGCATTCATTCTGTAAACAGTTTATAGAGAGAGAGAGATAGAAACATCAATGATGAGAGAGAATCATTGATCGGCTGCCGCCTGCACGCCCCCTACTGGGGATCGAGCCCACAACCCGGGCATGGAACTGGTGACCTCCTAGTTGGCGCGGGTGACGCTCAATCACTGAGCTACACCCGACTAGGCACCCCTCCCCCCCTTTTTTTTAAAGATTTCAGGGAGGAAAGGAGATGGAGAGAGAGATAGAAACATCAATGATGAGAGAGAATCATTGATTGGCTGCCTTCTGCAGGTCCCCTACTGGGGATCGAGCCCACAACCGGGGCATGGAACTGGTGACCTCCTAGTTCGCGGGTCCACGCTCAATCACTGAGCTACACCCGACTAGGCAACCCCCGCCCCCCCTTTTTTTTTTAAAGTAAGAAAGCTAGAATTACTCTTTTTGCTTAGAAAACATAAATAAATACATTCACTTATGTCCCCAAAATTCCAATAAAACAAGGTGGGATCCATACACTGTAGTCATTTGTTTTGTTTTCCCCAACTTAGCTTCTCCTTAAGACCTTAAAACTTCAGGAGCACGTGACTTGATAGGGGAGTCCCTGGAGGGCAAACACTATTTTCATTCATTTCCAGTAATAAGTTCTCAGTTGACTCAACACATTTGTGAAATCAAACCATTGCCATCAGCGATGTGAACGTTTCTCTACAAGGGAAGTGGGCAGGCCTCCAGGCAGAACAGGAGAAGGCTAGACTCTCTTCCAGGCGGGGCAGCCCAGGGCTCGGAGGACCAGAGGTTTATGTCCCTCCCTGGTCCTTCCCATCTCCTCGCCACTCCCCAGGCCGCTCAGATGGCAGAAACCAGGACAAGAAACTGGAGGAGAGAGAGAAAGGCGGGTGGAGCCGGCGTGGGAGCTGCGCTGGCTGGACAGGTGCCTGTGGTGGATGCTCATGTCCAGCCTGAGCCTGGCAGAAGTAGGCGACAGGGAGCCCCCTGCTTGGGGAATGGCACAAGATCAGAGAGTTGAAGAACCAGGACTCTAGGCACAACCAAGAACACGGTTCCCTAATACCGGATTCCTTCGCCTGCCTCCTCTGGCTACGGACAGGGGCATGAATCAATGGCAGGCGGATAGCCTGGGAATTGTGATGTTAGTGGCAAGTAGCATAGCTGTCTTTTTTTTTGGGGGGGGGGTTATATCTACTTTTTTGCTGTTATTTATAGTGCTGCAATGAACATTTATTTGCATTCATGTTTTTGTGTACACATATATTTTCATTTCTCTTGGGTATACACCTAGAAGTGGAATTGCTGGATCATACAGTAATTATAGATTTCACCATGTGAGGAGCTTTCAAAATGTTTTCCGAAGCTACTGCCACCAGCAGTGTATGAGGGTCCCAATTTCTTGACATCTTCTTGCTAATACTGTCTTTTTTTAAAATATATTTTTTTATTGATTTCAGAGATGAATAAAAAGGGAGAGAGAGATAGAAACATCAATGATGAAAGAGAGTCATTGATCGGCTGCCTCTTGCACACCACACATTGGGGATTGAGCCCACCTTGTGCTCTGACTAGGAAGCCAGCTCTGACCTCTTGGTTCATAGGTCAATGCTCAACCACTGAGCCACATCAGCAGGGCAACACTATCTTTTTTATTCCAGCTGGTTTAATGGATATGAAGTGGTATAGGCTATATTCATAGCCACTATATCTTAGCTC